TGGACTCTATATTTTGTAAGAAGGGAAGTGAGCTCAGTGAATTAAAGGGTCAAAGAATTATTGAATTATTAATATTCCTTCAGAAACCTAATATGATAATGCAGCTTAAATCATATATTAATGGATTCTGTGCCTGTGTATTATAATAATTATGAAAGAATGGTAAATTCACAGAATACTGGAAAATAATATAGCAATCATAATAATTTTTAAAAATACTTTGCACTTATATAGGGCTCTCATGACTTTCAAATCACTTTCAAAAATATTTTTCTCATTTTATCTTCTCAAATATACTATAGCCAGAAAAGACAGCTTTATTAAAGTCTGAGAAGAATCTTAGAAGTCTTAAAAGAATCAAATTATTATTATCTCATTTCCTAGATTATAAGCCATTTTAAATATCCATTTACCTTCCGAAATAATTTCATAGTATTGTGCCTTTAGCTGAGTATGGTTACTTATATATTATATAATTATTTAACTTTTTTTCAAACAAGATTCCAAAATTGTCAATAGCAACAACAACAAAAAACTGCCATTGAGTCGATTCCCACTCATAGCAACATTATAGGACAGAATAGACCTGCCCCATGGGATTTCCAAGGCTATAAATCTTTCCTGAAGCAGACTGCCTCATCTTTTTCCTGTAGAGGGGCTTATGAGTTTGAACCCCTGACTTTTTGGTTAGCAACGGAATGCCTTAACTATTCCTTATAGGTATGTACAAAATCCATAACAAACCCACTGCCTCTAACTCAGAGTGACTTAATAGAACTGAGTAAAACTGTCCCATGAGTTTCCAAAGCTGTAATTTTTGTGGAAGCTGACTGCCACTTCTTTCTGCCATGGAGCAGCTGGTGGGTTTGATTGAACCTCCAAGCTTTCAGCTGGCAGCCAAGCACTTAACTGCTGAACCACCAGGGTTCCTTCACAGACATGTATAATACTCATTAAGTTTGAAGAATAGTAGATGACAATGTCACAGTTCATAAATCTATGGAGAAATATTTTCTGGATAAATTATTATTGTCAGATGGAGCTCAGAATTTAGTTCTGGCCATTGGGAAGATCCTACTGAAGCCTTCCTGTACCCACCAAGAAACTATATTATGAAATATGCTCCAGCCTCATTGCCTACATTTCCCTAACCTTATGTCTTTGAGTGCTCTGTTCCTTTTACCTGATATGCTCATCCCTCATCCCTCTCCCCTTTTTTTAATAAACCTTCCTACCCTCAATTGAGGAGCTCTGGTAGCATAGTGCCTAAGGCACTTGACTGCTAACCAGAAGGCTGGTGGTTCAAATCCACCAGCCACTCCTCGGAAGGACGGTTGGGCAATCTACTTCTATAATGATACTGCCTCAAAAACCCAAGGAGCGGTCGCTATGAGTCAGGTCTGACTCAATAGCACATAACAGCAACAACAACAACCCTCAATTGAGGAGCCCTGGTAGCTAATGCCTGAGACACTTGACTGCTAACCAGAAGGCTGGTGGTTCAAACCCACCAGCCACTCCTTGAAAAAAAGATGGGGCAATCTACTTCCACAGTGATACTGCCTTGGAAACCCAAGGAGGGGTCGCTATGAGTTGGGTCCAACTCGACGGCACATAACAACAACAACAACCCTCAATTGAGGAGCTCTGGTAGCGTAGTGTCTAAGGCATTTGACCGCTAACCAGAAGGCTGGAGGTTCAAACCCACCAGCCACTCCTCAGAAGGAAGATTGGGCAATCTACATCCGTAGTGATACTGCCTCAGAAATTCAAGGAGGGGTTGCTATGAGTCAGGTCCAACTCAATGGCACATAACAACAGCAACAACAACCCTCAATTGAGAGTCAATGTTATATACTTCAAGATATTTCTCTCAATTCACCACATGTTAAATAAATTTCTTCTTAGATGCAAATCACTTTGTATCATCATTTTCTTTTCTGGTTATCTGAACACTTGTTTGTCTCACTCAGTAACCAAGCTTCTTGACAACAGAGACTTCTGTGTGGTTCCAAAACTGTCCTAGAATAAAACTTTGTGCATTAAAGATGCTTTGGGGGAAAATTCTGGATACATTAAATTAAGTGCACCAAGGACCAAGCTAGATTAAGGAACATGAAAACCACAACATTCATGAAGACCTCTTCAGGAGGAAAGAAAACTTGAGGACAAATCTTTACTGCCCCTCCCACTCCTCAGGAATTTCAGGCAGTTCTGAAGAAGTACTGCAGAAGCAGGTAGGGTAGCAGATTTGCAACCATGTCTCAGGCGGGTTCCAAGCCACAAATATTCTCCCTGATTTAAACTGTCACTTAAGGAAGTGTTCAACAAGCCTTTCAGATTACCAAAAGTCAGAACTAGCACTATGAAAAATGTGTAACCTCTGGGAAGTATAGTGGAATTGGGGAAAAGTGTCTGTTCTTTTCTAAGAACATTTAATGTGGTTGTTTGTAATTCTATTCCTATTGTGGTTATTATTATTATTATTATTAATTTGGTATGTCTTAACTATAGGCATACCTCAGAGATATTGTGAGTTCGGTTTCAGACCACTGTGATAATAAAGTGATGATCACAGTAAAACCAATCCCACAAGTGTTTTGGTTTCTCAGTGCATGTAAAAGTTATGTTTACACTATATTATAGTCTATTAAGTGTGCAACAACATTGGGAAAATGTTTGAAGTATTGTGAGAATGAACAAAATGTGATGCAGAGACACTAAGAGAGCATATGCTGTTGGAAAAAATGGCACCGATAGTTCTTGCTTGACGCAGGGTTGCCACAATCCTTCAATATGTTAAAAAAAATAAAATATTTTTGAAGCACAATAAAACAAGATATTCTTGTGCTAAGTTGGAGTCCCTGAATGATGTAAATAATTAAGCACTTGACTATTAACTGAAAGTTTGGCAATTTGAATCCACCCAGACCAGCCACTCCTCGGAAGGAAGGTTGGGCAATCTACTTCTATAGTGATACCACCTCAGAAATCCAAGGAGGGGTCACTATGCATCGGGTTGGACTTGATAGCAGTGAGTTTGATTTTGGTTTAGAGGCACCTGGGAAGAAAGGCCTGGAGAATTGCTTCCAAAAGATCACAGCCGTGAAAACTCTATAGAGCACAGTTCTACTCAAAGCACATGGGCTTGCCATGACTGAACGGCAACCATGTTTTTTTTTTTAATTGCAAAATTTATTCAGATATTTTCATACTCTATCTCCCACATTGGAATCTCAAGGCATCCTTCTCCCATTACTCATCTTCTTCTGACTTTTCCCTATCCCTGTCCCTATTCAACCGACCCCCAGCATATATATGTACAGTAATACAGCTGACCTCCCTTTTCTTTTTTTTTCCTCTTATTTAAACAGCTGGGGCCCCCAAGTTGCTGATTCTATTCTGAGCATCATCTACTCTTCACATCATTTCTAGTATTTTCCTCTGCTTCTATCCAAACTCAATTCCATTCCATCAGGACCCTGACCTCAGCTCTCCACTCAGTTATCTAGCTCTCCAATAAATGAATCCATGCTGTGTTGATGAGAGATAGCAAGTTAATAAGAAAAGAGAGTTAGTCCCCTCCTTCCTTCTTTTCTCTTACTTGATCATGTTTAACCATTTTTACTCTGGTCACCTATATGCAATATTCTCAAAATTTTATCTAGGCCAAATGAGTAACCGAGCACCTAGCATAGTGCCTGGCATATAGTGGATCAACTAAAATAAAATACTTATTGAATGAATTAATGAATGAGTGAATGAATGAATGGTGTCAAATCAAGACTGTGTTTGGCTTCCAGGTAGGATAGAATAAAAGCCAGACAGATTAATGAGAGGAATATTTTCCAACAAGACTTTGCAATATCATGGATCTTCCTTATAAATATCCAACTAGGCCTACCCCATGTTCATAAAAGAAAATATATATATATTTCCCACCTAGTTAAACTTCATAGTTTTTGTTTTGTTTTGTTTTGTTTTTATTTGCTTTGGTAATTATTGCTACCAACACAGGGTTTGTCTTACTAGTTCTTTAAAAAACATTGAATGAGATTATTGACTCCATGGTCTGGTTGAGATGAAAGGGGGGAAATTTAGTCACTCCTTATCCTTCCTCAACTGCTCTCACCCTCTTTTCTTCCCCCCCCACCCCCGTTCTAGTTCTTACACTACCACCCCTAGCCTCAGAGGCACTAACATTTTGGAGGGACAAAAGAAAAGAAATCTGGAAACATAGTAGTTGCTTCCCCCTTCTTTTCTAGTAGACTTAGCTTGAAACTTGAAAGAAAAGGAAATTTAAGATCACATTTTTTTTTAAACAAATAATCTCCTTGTTTTTTGTATTTTCTCTCACACATTAACATGCTGTTTTGAGCTGAATAAAAGCTTATGGAAGCCATCTTTACCTCTTAGCACTGACGCAAAGCAAAAGTAAAGGAGAATTGTTTAGTTGTCTAGATCCGCGTTAAACTGGCCATGCTTCCCATGAAGCCCTGACTGAGTTTGCCGTCTTGCATAAATGAGAGTGAGACTCTAAGCAAAGCAGCCGTGGGTGATGACTGCCTCAGGTCCTAGATGCTCACATGATTCCGTTCCTCTTTTTTCATACAAATATATAAATATGTAGGAAAATGGGAAAATGAAGCAAAGATAGTAAAGTTCTTATTGTGCCAAAATTAGACTTTTGTATCAATGGAAACTGAATCTTCCCAAATTCTAAAAGGTGTACACCTGCAAATGCTTCTGTTCATCTTGTCCGCCAAGAATTCACAATCTTCAGTCATGTTCTGAATGTCTGACCTTTCTATCCTGCTTGAAACAGATGCTATATCCGTGCAAATCACAACCACCTGTTGTCTCCATGTGTCTCGTTGAACCACGTCCATGTAACACCATTCCACAATCTTTTCTCCATGCCTCACTTTATCCAAGCATGTAGTGTGCTATTACTCTGCTACTGTATACACTCTGTATACATTTCTGTTCTTCCTTGCAAGACTGTGAATGCTTCGGCCACTCCAATCGATGCAGTTATATCGATCTGCTAAATACAGTCATTTGCGTGAGCTGTAAACACAACACTAGAGGGCAGCACTGTGAGTTATGCAGGCTGGGCTACTTCAGAAATGCTTCTGCACAGCTGGACGATGAGAATGTATGCATAGGTCAGTTCCATTATAATTTCAGCTATTGTTCTGTGCCTTTCAAGCTATGGGGAGCTACTTAGGGTGGAGAGGCTGGTGATTCGTATCACGGCTGAGCCAGAATAAACTTTCTCAATGGAGCAAACATCCTTGCGGTAGATTTTAAATACACTTGTGGTGGTTGAAAACATAGTTGGGGGTATATGTTTAATCTGTATATTATTGTTTTAAAAACGATGATCTGAGAAATTATGTTGAGAAGCCAAGAAATTTTCTATTTTCTTTCTTCCTTTTTTATTTATTTGCATGAAATGTTAAAACCAGGTAATATCAATCTGATCTTATAACCTTAAGTTTTATGTACAATTTTATAAATGGAGACTCATTATATGGGATTTAATTCTGACTATAAGAAACTAAGGTACAAACTCTTGTACATAATCAGTGATCAACTAACACTGAATGATCAAAATTTTGACATTTCAAATTGAAAGCCACCAGCAGCTGATAATAGAGAGTGGTTATCTGACTATTCCATCCATAGCAGTATAATTCCATTTATTGAATTTTCCCACAGGCCCTAAAAATAGAAGTAAATTCTCAGAACTATCCTTGTCAATCGGTCCTGTTAGCTGCCACAGCTCACGCGTCCCCAGATGAGCGCTGGTTGTGTATGCTGGGGAGGACAGCTGGTTTTTCTGCCCTTCCCACACAAAAAGCTTCTCCTGCTTCATCCCTACTAAAGTCTGCCCCTTATAAAGGAATTGAATTGAAAAATAAGAAACAATAAATGGAATTTCACTTTGTAGTGTACTTTGAAGAAATTCAGATATTTGCAACACTGAAGGAGACATGTATATCTATCTGTTACCACACCTGTAGATAGCTGTATAGGCAACCAAATTTAAACGTAGAAATTTTCACATAGAGATGAATTTAAAATGTAACACTCAAGCTGAAAAATGACAGGTGATCTTTTCATCACAAAAAGAATTGAATAATCCACATTTCTGGGATCATTGTCTTCTGGATTGTCAGCAAGTGTCACATGAAATAGCTGTATAAATTGTTTTGAATTAAATTGTGCCAAGTATACGTAATACTATTTATGTTGATGGTATGTCATATTTTCTTTAAACTACTACCTAAAATATTACCTGTGAATTAGTGGAGAAAGCACTGGACTTAGAGGCTGGAGAGCTGAGTCCAACCCCCTGTGTGCTATTTATTAGCTGTTTGTTTTAGGTAAATCATTTGAGCCTCCTGGTCAAATAGGAATCATATGGAACACACAGGAAACATTTTGTAAACAGTTTACTGATTTGCATATATGTTGTATTACTTAATCCTCATTAACAAAACAGTGGGGTAAGTACTACAATGATAATTTCCTCTATTTTCTAGTCGAGAATATTAAGGCAAATTAATCCAGAGTGTATAGCTTTAGCAAAGGATTTCCTGACTTCAGAATTCAAACAGTTTCTCTCAACTACCCTGTCACAGATAGCAAAGCAAAGCTTGTCAGATATTTGCTTATTTTGTGCTTTCATGGATGACATCAGCAATTCTACTAAGAGCTTATGAGCAGAAGTTCCTTGACTTCATAAAATTTGGTTTACAATGATTTGAGGAGATTAGTGAAAACCAACAAATATGTAACTCTGAAATTTGAAGGCAGAGTTGCACTGCAATGAATGTCATCTGTAAAAATGTATAAATGCCATGCTATAAATATGGAAACAACAGAAAAAGTAAAGTAAATAGGATATAACAAACCTAGTCATTTTTACAAAATACATAAGATGAAAATGTTTTATAATATTAGTGTCACATTATTTTTAATATTTTTTAAAGTTCTCAAGAGAAAAGATTTTATGCCATAAAAATTCTCAAGGCAGGTAATTTAACAACATGGTAATTTTATTCAAACTATTCTATTATTATGAAATTTGGCCTTTTTCCACTCTTAAAGTATGGAAATATTCCTATCCAAATGTAAGTAGCATGGTTCTCATGTTAATTCACATTTGGTTATTCACAAAGACAGCCCACTCAGTGTTTGTCTATTAAAGTTTAACAATACAGATGCAATATGTGAAGCTTACTAATAGACATTTTTGCATGAATTGTGACTAAAAAAAAATATTCCATTCCTATAAAGTTTGTTAATTCAAAATCACAAACTTTTGGAGAATTTTACTTTATGGAAGCAAATTTAAGTGTCTATTTAGCATTTAACATTCTTAAAATCAAGTAAAGTGATTGATAAATATGAAAATGAGCATTTTTAGGTACCATTAAAATTAGCTATGTTCATCACACCAAAGTTATTTCTTTAAACCACCCTTTTTCTAAGGGGAAATTGTTTTTAAAAATTTCAACTGAAACAGTTTGACTTACTCATGTATGATAAGCCTATCTTTTAACTTTAGGCCATATATATATAAAATGAATCAATAACAATTTTCTTAAGGAGCTGTAGATTCCGTTTTCTTCAACTTGAAGCACAAAAGGCAGAGATCTTGGAACTGCCCATGCACAACAAGGCTCTCCCAGGGCCATTTGAAACCTGTGGCTCTATTGCCAAGCTTTGCCCTATGAGCAAATGGGCCTCATGAGCCCATTCACTATTTTCCATACTTAAGCTCCTAAAGGAGCTTGAGGAAAGATTAAGAATCAAATTTGAGACGATACACAACAAATAATTGAGAGATAATTTTAATACCATTTTGTATAGAAGGCACTAAGGAAAATGAGTGGGTATTTACCCAGTTCGCTTTCACAGAATTAGGTGCTAGTCTTGTAAACTTTGAATAAGTCCTCTCTAAATTGAAAAACAAAACAAAACCCACTGAACAATTCTTTAACAACTCTCTGTAATCATATCCACCATCTTGGTTGTGAGGTAATAATTCTTTGCAAAATATAAACTGTCTTAAAATAAATTCCTTCAAATACTTACATCACTTTATAGCATAGTAAATATAAAATGCAGGGGGAGCTCTGGTAGCGTAGTGTCTAAGGCACTTGCCTGCTAACCAGAAGGCTGGCAGTTCAAATCCACTAGCCACTCCTCAGTAGGAAGGTTGGGCAATTTACTTCCACAGTGATACAGCCTCCGAAACCCAAGGAGGGGTTGTTATGAGTCGGGTCCAACTCGATGGCACATAACAACAACAACAAATATGAAATGCAGCTGACTCTTCCATGTTGCCACAGTGATTGCTGTTTTGTGATTACTGGTGAATTTACCCATTTTTCATACAAATTCCAGGCACAATGATGTCTCCAAAGATCCATGTAATTACCTGTGATGACACAGCAATTACATGAAGATGACATCCTTGCATGCTTCTGTTTCATATAAATTTGAGCATTAAGCAGGAAGCTAGAGGATGTGTCATTGTGACCTTCTGCAATCACTGCTAATAATCCCTTGCTAACAAGCTTTTACATAAGAATGGAACTTGGGGCTCCAGCAATTGCCTCGAAACATATCTCAAAGATAGGATGTGTTATTTTTAATTCCCCTTGAAACTCAAATCAGGTAATCAAAGTTTTCTTACACAGAACAAACAAACTCAAGGCACTCCTCCTAAAGCCTATAAATCAATTTTAGTATAACTTTTTAATCAAGGCTCCTTAATAATTTCATGTCGTTATTTTAGTCTAACACTCCTACTGATTCTGCTTCATTTTGTGGAATAAAATATAACCTTCCTAGGTCATCTCTGGGGAGCTCTGGTAGCGTAGTGCCTAAGGCACTTGACTACTAACCAGAAGTTTGGTGGTTCAAATCCACCAGGCACTCCTTAGAAGGAAGATGGGGCAATCTACTTCCGTAGTGATACTGCCTCAGAAACCCAAGGAGGGGTCTCTATGAATCGGGTCCGACTCGACGGCACATAACGACAACAACAACAGGTCATCTCTGTAAGGGTCCCTGGTGGTGCAATGGTTAAGCACTTGCCTGCTAAACAAAAGGTCAGCAGTTCGAACTTCCCAGATGCTCCACAGGAGAAATGTGGCAATCTGCTCCCACAAAGATTTACAGCCTTGAAAACTCTGTTGTGCAGTTCTACTCTGTCCGATGGTTGCTATGAGTTGGAATCGACTCAATTGCAATGGATTTGTTTGTTTTTGTTTGTTTGTTTGTTTGTTTGGTAAGTTATCCCTACCACTCCTATATCCATCATTCACCATAGTTCCATAAATGATAGTTTACAAAAATTGAATTATTTATATGGAAGGTGGATCATCCTTCTCTTCATCAATTACTTTTATGACTGTTTGAGGAACATAACACATACCACCTTTTCCTATGATAATAGCTGAGATATACTGTACTTTTGATGTTCTACTCCTTTTATTTGTAGGTTTTGTATTGTTTATATTTTTTACATATAAAACCCTATATTAATTAATAGTTAGTGACTAATGGACCAGAGTATTATGTGAACTCAGATTGGCCAGAGGCAACTCTACTCCCTGGCTTATCAAATTTTAGTGATTCATTGGCAATATATATATATTACTTTAAATAGTAAGAAACACAATGCAGTTTTGGTATTAATACATATTTATAATACACATATGTACAGATAAACATTTTTAAAACCATAACAAAATTACTGCTTTGAAATATTTTTTAAACATCTCCCTTACACATCCACACCCCCACAGACACTTAATTTACACAGACATTAAAATCGAAAATGGCAGTTTAGAATAAAACACTAGTTGTTAAGTACACTCTAAGCCAAGGAAGGAGGGAGCACTTTAGAGTTTATTTGATTTTATTCTTACTTACACATACTAACCTTATAAATGTTTGATAAGAAAGCAAAACTCAGAAACTTACTCAACCTGAAATTAAATCATACTTTTAAGATACTCCACTTTCTTTGAAGAAACTGATTAATGTCTGTGACAAAACCTGAACCAAATCCCTGGATATCTCCATAAAATTAACCCCTAACTCTCTATTGTTGATCTATGACACTAACTTGGATTATATTACCTGATTTCTCAGAGATTCCTCTGATTGGTTGGTATGGTTTTGTTTGCTCTTTACCAAGGGCACCTCTTCACGGGCCCATTTCAAAGTGAAGGAAACTTGGAAATGGACATAACTTTCCCAGGCTCATACAATGTGGTAACAAGGAAAGGTACTTTGGGCTGTAAGTCCAAAAAGCTGCAAAACTAGCTGTGCTATCTTCAGAGTCATGAATGCCTAAGGAATCCCCATTTCTGGTTTAGGCTTTAAGTAAACAGAGCTCCAGAAGTAAAATGGTCCTATATAAGAATTCTATTTACTTTTTTATTACACATACTTATATTGTCTGCTAGAGGCATTATAATGGGAATGATATGCCTCAGATGATCCCTATGTTGAAATTTATTTGGAATTACAAAATATATTTTTATTTCATGACTGTTAATCTAGGTGGCATAAAAGCTGTACTAACCTGCCTCAGAGATACAGCATCTAAAGGCTCATCACAAGACACTATGTACATAAATAAGTTAAGATGCTTTCCCAAATCATAAAGTAAAACTGCCTTTGAATGAGCAAAGTGCTTTCATATTGCACTTTAAAAATGTTTAGCAGTTCTCCAATATAGAATGTAACAGATAAGCCCATTTGAGTAATTTAAAATAGATTGTACACCGATGACATATTGATTTATCCTCGATATACAAACTTCTTATGGTGTTCATTAAACCGTCTAAAACTGCCCTAACAAATGGAATCTCCATTATGATCTGTTAGCAGTGAAGAGCATGATATCTTATTTCCTCAGAAGTTTCCAGTTGATTTCCTCTCATATCATAAAAATTATATCCTGGAAGTCTGAGAAAATAAATAAATGGACCTGAAATAGCCATATTTGCCAAAGCACTTCATTAATGGACATCTTTCTATAAGTAAGTGATGCATTTAAGTAAGTGATGCTCCTGTGTTGATAACCTGTCCGCCATGAGGACTTGTCTCCAGCCTATGTGTTGTCTTGTTTCTACAGAGTGTTATTGTAACCCTTTGGGCTCAATCCATGACCGTTGTAATGGCTCAGGATTTTGTGAGTGTAAGACTGGAACAACAGGGCCTAAGTGTGATGAGTGTCTGCCAGGAAATTCCTGGCACTACGGCTGTCAACGTAAGTAACTCTGGGAGCTGCCCTCTGCCTGCTACAGCATGGCTGATTGTGCTTGTCTAGGCCGATGCGTGCAGCTTCTCAGAGTAGAGAAAGACCCAAACTGCTGACAAGCTTTAAAAGTTATCTAATGCCCCAGCCTATGTATAGGCGAGCAATCCATCAGCTGTTCAGCTTGCTTCTTTGAAGCTCATCTTCATCCCATCTGATGGCTGGAGCAACTTATATTGAAATATTGTATGCAGATCCATGTACCTGGCCAGACCATAAATTAAGTGGCACAATAGGGACCCAGCTTGGAAATTCTCACCGCAAAATGAAGGGTGATGTGTATGTGGTTAATATATTTCTTGAACTGAAAGCTACCCTGGAGCTCCAGAGTTCATAAATTAAATGATATCTGCATAACTTATTACTGCCTTTGCTATCATACTCATCACAGAATCTTAACAAAAACCTAAAGGTAATGAATCTAAGGGATATTTAAATGCCAGGGTAAAATAAATGACGGAAATCAATATTGATTTTAAACCTCTGAGGTTAGGCATGATGCAGCAAGCCTTAGATGGATGCCATTTGCTTCAGCCTCATTTCTCTGAGGACAATCGGATCTTCTTAAAAGCTTGTCAAGGCAGGTGGCATGTCAATGTATACAGGGAACAGAAATTAACAAATCTGGGCAGAAGCTTCCTTCCTTTTTTTTTTTTTTTTTTTTTTGCTTTTTAGCTATGCACTAACTTTCCTTCTATCTAGAGAGTGTCAGCTTACTGATATTAAAGGATCATAAGACATATGCTCCAGACCAGCGCAGTCTGATAGAAAATAATGCAAGACACATATGTAAGCTTAGTTATCTTGTTTTCTACATTAAAAAAAAGTAAAGAAAGAAACAGAAGAAATTAATGTTAACAATATATTATTAACCCAAAATACAGGAAATACTATCAGATCCACAAGTAATTAATATCCAAATTATTAAGAACATATTTTCCACTTTTTCAATCTATCTTTGAAATTGGATGTGTATTTGATGCTTACAAAACATCTCAATTGGGCCTAGCTGTATTCCAAGGCTTAATAGCCACTGTGTCTACCATATTGGACAGCGCTGCTCTAGAGTTCTTTCTGTTTACTTTTCACTTGAAAAATATGTCAGCATGCAGGAACAGTCTAGAGCTAATTTCTACCAGGACAATATAGAATGCTCTCTATGCTACTTGTGGAGTTTCTAGTTACCTGGCAGCCGCATGTCCTTCTGCATAACATAAAACCAAAGTGAAATTCATTGTCATACTAATGCCACAGGCAGCAAAGAACCATTGTGACAGGCTGGGAAATTTGGTATTGCACAGGCCAGGGTTAGGATGGGAAGGTGGAAGCGCCATGCAGAAGCTGGAGGAGCATCAGAGACGGTCAGATTGCCAGAGTCAGGAGGCAACCAGCATGGCAACTCTGGACAAGGCAGAGGTCCTACCTGCTAGAGGTTCCCAGCAAGCACTGGCCCTTAGAGGGCTGGATGAAGGCTGGATCCCAGGACACGACAAGCAGTCATCACTCATGGGACATCTGGATGCAGGGCCCAGAGCAGGCCACCAGTCAGAAGGAACAGAGGTTCAGACAGAGGAAGGGCCAAAACCAACACCAAGATGTAAGGAGCACCAGCACAAGGTATAAGGAGATATACCTGATGAATTTCTCAAACAGAAAGTCACATGTAAACTTCTCAATATAGCAGGATCTATGAGTGAATTCCTAGAGTGTACTCAGAGTGAGATTTTGAAGAGGAAAATAAATTGATCTAGCCTTAGAAGGAATGTATCTCAAGACAGGCCTTGCCCCAAATTTTCCAAATAAATGACTGGAGCATTATATAAATTTATAATGTGAAATTTGGTGAAAAGTTTCCCATTTGGAATCAGAAGACTGGGTATATCTGGCCCTCCTACATAAGGACTGTGTGTTGTGCAAATCACAATACCCTCTGTGCCTCACCTCCAGCCCCTGGCAGACTTGTTATGAGGATCAGTGAGATCAAGGGAATAAATGCACTTTTTTTCTCTTTTGATTATTAAACACCTACTATGGTTAGACACTTTTCATTTCTACTACACAATAACGAAGCAAGAAAGCTGCTGGGAACATATGGAGCTAACATGCTATGCTCAGAAATATCAAGTAGTTTTGATATGACTGAGGGATAGGGAGTGTGCGTATGTGTGTGTTTGTGTGTGTGTGTGTGTGTGTGTTTTGGAGAGGAAGAGATGATATTGAAAAGAAAGCAGGCACCAGATTGAATGGTTTCTTGAATGCTAAGCTAAAAGGAGTTTTATCTTTTCAGGTAGTAGACATAGCAAACCAATGGGGATCCAATGGTTTATGCAGGAGAATTGAAGGATAAGATTTGGTTTTAAAAAGATTATTCTAGCTGCTCTGTAAAGGAAGTATTAGAAAGTGATGAGACTGGATTTGCTGAATAAATTAACAAATTTCAAATACATTTTGGAGCACACAATAATTAAAAAAAAAAAATCATTATGAAATGTTTCGTTCCTCAGACCCACCCACAGAGAACAGATATTCTAGGTTAAAATATGTAAATTCTTTAATACCATTGATAAATGGTATCAAAAGTAATTTTGATATGACTGACAGATAAGGTGTGTGTGTATGTATGTGTGTGTGTAGTGTGTGTGTGTTGGAGAGGAAGAGATGATATTGAAAAGAAAACAGGGACCAGATTGAGTAGTTTCTGGAATTCTAAGCTAAAAGATCCCCCAAGAACCTTCACTTGGATCCCTTTGACCAACCCAAGATCCAGCAACTAAATTATAACACCTATAAGAGTTGAGTGCCCCCAGCACTTATTCAAATAGTAGAGCAGGTACTCATTCTGATTAGTTGGTACTCATAGACTTTTAAATGTTTTTCATATCACCTCTGGATCTATACACAGAGAGAGGCATTAAAAATGTTTCAAAATCAGTTGCTAAACACACACACACACACACACTTCCACTTACCCTGAGTTAAACCCATCCTTGACTTAGCTGCATTATTAGTGGCAGTGTTAATAGTCTGTCAACAAGAAACCAATGTCAAGAAGAAAAAGTGGTGGACAAGGACAGACAGTGGCATTGACAGCAATGACTAGAAGTAGACATTCTGGTAGGTACTGCCTACAATAGGTATCAAAATAGAGACATAGGGATTCAGGTACTGGGTTCATTCCTCCAGTGGACTAGCAAGAGGAGCAACATGGAATTGTAATTCAAAAAGACTTTGCTTTGCAGATAGGTATTAAAGAAAGGAGGCTAGTTACTGACACTACCACTTGCTATTGAGAAGTGGAAATTGCACAGTGACTATGTACTTGGGTTCTGGAGTTCTATAATCCTGCGTCTGAATCCTACCTCTACCTCTCGCTACCTACAAAACTTAAAGGACATTTCTTGGACTCTCAAATTGTTTTTTTCTTCAAAAAATGGAAGTGAAAATAGGACTTAATGTATGTACTATTTGTAAAGATTCAAGGACAATAATGAATGTGGTTCTCATGGTGCATACGTAGAAACACATAGCTTACATAGTAAGCATTCAATTATTATTAGTTCCAGGCAGATATTGATGTGCCAATGAGCTAGACAAGATTTCATGTTTAAAACTTTTTGTACAGGTTAAGACAGAACTTGCAGTAAGATTGGCCACTATTGAAGTGTCAAACTGTTGATCTAGGAGCGTCTGAAAAGCCCCTTGATTAGACACAGGGCTCATCCTAGAGACTGAAGCAAATCTGATCCCAAAAGTGATTGTATGGCTTCACTTGGGGAAATTGGAGAACTGTAGCCTCAGCAGTAAACTTTTTTTCAGGAGGGAGCCACTGACTGTGTGCTCCATAAATGTAAGCTGGTCTCTGATATAAGAAGTGAAAAACCTGAAAACCACCAGGAAGAATGGTCTTAAGACAGGATGGAGCAAACAACCCAGGGAGGAAACAGAAATAAAAAGATATCAAGGAGATATGCAGCATCAAAATCAGTGACACTGGAGAAGAAAGAGGTTTTTTGTTTGTTTGTTTGTTTTTCAAATATGTCCCTTTGAAATCAGAGAAGAGGCCTAAGCCAAGTCTCAGAGAGTAAAATAGAACTTTCTAAAGAGGAAGCAGCATTCCATGCTTCACACAAAACACAAAGGGTTAGCATGTATCAGGAGGTAACGAAACACTTGTTACCAGCACCAAGAGTGGAGACAGGGGAGATATGTGACTTTTGGGTTCAGAAGAATGGAAATAACCACATGGAGAACTAGTGAGGCTGATAAGGAGAAAGTGTCTTCTTGGATGAGATACACACACACATGTATACACACACACACACATACATATATGGTACATTGGAATATCCTACAATATGTATTAAAACCACCCATTAAGTGGTTACCTAATTTATGTGAATACTAATGGTACTTTCAGAATTTAAGTAAATTTGAGTAAAAGTCAAAAAAATATTTGAGTAAAAGTCAAAAGAGTAAGTAGCATAAATTAAATGTTATGATTTGGGAAGATAATAGAGCATTTGAGAAATCAGAACTAAGCACACATAGGAAGGGGAAGTCTGAGAGTCCATTGCTGAAATATCAGAATGTAGGCTTCTGGAAGGAATCAGAATCTGTATTACCAAGAACAGGAAAGAAATGTGTTTGGTAAGAGGCTCAGTGGCCTGATTAAGAAGGTCTATAATGAAATTTGAGTGGAATATAGGGAAATGACTCTGAAAAACTATATAACCAGAAACTTCAGCTAACCACAGAGTTGTTGTTGTTTTAGGTGCTTTGAAGTTGATTTTGACTCTGAGTCATCCCATATGACAGAGTAGAAGCACCCCATGGGGTTTTGTAGGCTGTAATCTTTATGGGAGCAGGTCTCCAGGTCTTTCTCCTTCAGAGCGGCTATCTAGGGTTTGGGTTTGGACTGCCAACTTTTCTTTCAGTTAGCAGCTGAACACTTA